GACCGCCGGACTCCGCGGCCCCACACCCCCTCACTGCCTCGGGACTCCGGCCAGCGCTTAGCCTTCGTCCGGGTTTCAAGTGGAAAGTGGGGAAAATAAGAGCAATCTCTCCTGGAAAGTAGCTGTGGGGATCAAGTGGGTTAATATCCCGGAAGTGTGTAGAATTGGAGCGCGATACACAGCAAAACTGTTTTGAGTCTGGTTGCTTGTAAAAACGGTTGCGTCCCTGTCCTGTTCTCTCAACCTGGAAAACAGCACAGAGTAGAAGGAAAAATTTTTCGGGTTTTTGTTTATATAGTCTGTTTAAAGACAAACTTTTCAAACAAGTTAGTTTCCCCTCTTAATATAGAAGGGACAAAAGGTGTTAGGTGTTGTTTGAAAACTAGTTTTATGTATGGAAAACTGCAAGAAAAATGTCTATAATATCTATAAGTTGTGACTGTACAACTGTGGATAAAATCCAGAGCTGTGTCAACCTGGTTGGGTGTGTTCCTCCTGAGTCCTGTGTCTTCTTCGGGCCTGGGCTGGGGTTGGGACGTCTGCCAGGGAGGTGGACATCGAGCTGGTGCTGTCCTGGCTAGGCTACCGCGTGTAGGGCCCTCACCGGCCCAGAGGGCTGGGGCATTCAGGGTCCTAAACTCATGGCATGGGTCAAAGGCGTGCTGAAAAGAGTTAACAAAGCAGGCCTGAGATGCTACCATACTTTGAAGGGTCTACTTGCAAGGTTGGCCTTCATTCGGCATTTGGGAGCTTGGGTTTTCGGTGTTCTGACCGGAGGACTGTTAGTTTATGCTGAATACTGTGTTTCATGCTGAAATTACCAGCTTCATAAAAATCCTGGGCTGCGGGTTTCTCATAGGTTTCCCTGGGCAGAAGTGTTGCCTACGTGTTGCTACATATTCCTTGATGGGGAGAAAGTATGCTGCTTTTGACTCCTCCTGGGGAGGAGGGAGCACAGGAAGCCCCTGGTACATATTTTTCTGGACTCCACCTCTTTTTCCATTATGATTGATTTTATATCATACAGCAGTGCTGTAATAAATGTCAGCCATGAGTGGGAAGAGGGGGTCTTGAAGTTTCCCAGACACAATTTTGATGAAGCTCTAATAATCGGACTCTGAATTGTCCGTGTGTGTGTGTGTGTGTGTGTGTGTGTGTGTGTGTGTGTGTGTGCCTTAAATGGAAATTGGAAAAGAAACTGTACAGAATTGCTATACAGTGGGCTATTCGACCAAATAATTCTGTATGTTTAGACATAGTATCAGAAAAATGATTAGAAATTGACCCTCTAGAGCCAGGCGTGGTGGGGCATGCCTCTAATCTAAGCACTCTGGGAGGCTGAGGCAGGAGGACCACAAGTTTAAGGCCAGCCTGGGCAATTTAGTGACTCAGCTCCTTTCTCAAAGTAAAAAACAAAAATCCAGGGATGTAGCTCAGTGTGGAAGTGCTGGGTGTAATCTCAATATAGGGCAGGGAATGGGGGTTTTGCACCTCCATCACCAAGGGAGTCAGTGTTTTAGTAAAAAGGCACAAATTATTTACAGCAGTTTCTGTGAAATGCCTGGTTCTGTGTTTTGTATTGGGTTTTTTTGTTTTTTGTTTTTTGTTTTTGCCAGCATTTGAATGTTAATGCTTATCTTTATCAAGGGTTTACCTATTTTAAAAAGGGAAATGAAATACCCTTTCTCATGTACTATTTTTTTTTCATGATTTTTATGTTTTCTCATGTTTTAACTAGATTCTGTTAGCAATGCCTATCTCTTTTCAGGACATGAAATTAAAACTAAAGGATATAGGTTTGTAAATCTAGATAGGTTTGTAAAGTACAAGAGTAGCTATCTTTTGATAAACGAGTGGGGAGGTGGAGAAGTTGGAGGTTTAAGGAGTAAAAAAGGTTTGAAAGGATTGTGTGAAGGTAATGGTAGACCCACCCGTCTTTCTGATAAGACTTTCTCCAAACATGGAAAAAAAAATTCATCTGGCTCCTCTAGAACTGAGTACTGCAGAGGGATGCTGTACGGATTAGACTGGATACAGCTCTTTCTTGGTATATGGTAGGATTACACTCCCCCCACCTGTTTACTTGAAGTTAGATGTGGCCAGGTGACTTTGACATGTAAAATATGAGCAGAAGTGACATGTGTCACTGCTAATCGAAGCCTGAAGAATCACCTCTCCATTTGCAGCTGCCCCTTCTCCCTGTGCTGCTGTAGGGCCATGGAAGCACTTGGCGAGATGAAGCTTCTTGTCAGAGGAATGGGAGTTGTGATCAGAAGGGGATACTGTGTTTGTATTGGGGGTTTTAGAGAGTGGAGCAGACGGAATAAGTAGAAGAGTAAGTTAGACTGGTGATGTTTCTCAGTACTGAGGGTTGGGAAGTCCCAAGATCAAGGTGTTGGCAGACTGATGTCTACAGAGGGCTTCTAGACCTATAAACAGGAACTATATGTCTTAGCTGTCTTTTGCCTGTATCCACACATAGATACAAGGCTAGTTCTCTGGCCTCTCTTTGAAGGGCACTAATCATTCATGAAGGATCTCCTCCATGACCGAATTACCTCCCAGAGTTTTTGTGTCTTAAGTACTAGCTCATTGGGGATTAGATTTCAGTAGATGAGTTTAGGGTCCAGGACACGAACATTTAGTCCGTGACAGATTGTTCGTACAAGTCAAATGAACTGTACCCTGTCTGTTTGTCGATCTATCTTTTTTTGGTGTGTGTTCCTGGGGACCAAATTCAGCATTTCATGCATGCTAGGTAAATGCTGTATCATTGAGGTATACCCTAACTTTGTATGTTGAAGTTAAAGCCTTTGGAATAATATAGTGCTTTAAATCTCGCGATATATATATATATATATATATATTTATTGGGCTGGGGATTTAGCTCAGAGGTTCCGCTGCCTGCCTTGCAAGTTCAAGGTACCAGTATATATATTTATTTATTTTATCTTTGAAGATTAAACTGTATTCATTTTTTTTCCTTCAACCTTTTCAGTAAATAACAGATGCGGGTAAAAGATCCATCCAAAGCTTTACCTGAGAAAGGAAAAAGAAATAGAAGGCCTTCAGTACCTCATGATGAAGATTCTTCAGATGACATTGCTGGTAAATTGTGATAGCTGATATCCTAAATGATGTTGGAGAAAAATAACGATACATTTTTTTAAATTAATAAATCCATTTCTTTTAATTTTCACTATTTTCTGATGCCTGAACTAAATTTATTAAGAATTTTAATTTTTAATTTAAGAAGTTGCATAGTAGAATTTTCTGTTCTAGTACCAAGGATTGAAACTTGGTTTTTCACACTGACCTACATCTTCAGCACATTTAAAAAATTTTAAATTTTAAAACAGGGTGTCCGTATGTCGCTAAATTGTTCATATGGGCTTGAACTCTCGATCATGCTGCCTTAGCCTCCCAGAGTTCTGGGATTATAGACCCACCACTCTCAGTTTAGAAAATGTTTGCTCTGTACCCTGACCAGATCCCATTCCAGAGATTATATAGATACTGGGCATGGTGGTGCATGCCTATACTCTCAGCACTTGGGGAAGCTGAGGCAGGAGGATTGCTGCAAGTTCAAGGTCAGCCTAAGCTACATAATGAGTTCAAGGCCAGCCTGAACTACACAGCAAGACCTTGTCTCAAAAAAATAAAAAATAAAAAAAGATTATATGGATAGTATGTAGAATGATTTTAAAATATAAAACTGTTGCTGGGGATTTGGCTCAGTGGTTCTGCCGCATGCCTCACAATTGCAAGGGCCTGATTTTGATTCCCGGTACCCCCCCCCCAAAAAAAAAACCAAAAACCACCAGAACTGTAACAGCAAGGACATTGGTAAACCATTTCCAGATCCTGTACTAGTGATCATTTATGAGTCCTCTCTTGAATAGCCTTTAGTAGCATGGATCCTTGTTTTTCCCATGTACAACTTCAGAATTACTCCTTTTTAATGTTTTTATTGCTTTTGTTAAATTAGAAGCTTAAATATTTTATTCAGCTTTATATATTATTTTTGTTAAAATTATATTTTGTTATAAGGAATTGTGAGGAATAATATTTTTAGTTTTCAAGATGAAATAGACTACTGCAAAATTCTGTTGCCTAACCTCTCTCTAATTAGTAGACAGGAATGCTTTGAGCTGGGCAGAATGGTGCATGCCTGTTATTCCAACTACTGAGGAGGCTGAGGCAGGAGGATCACAAATTTGAGGCTAGTCTGGGTAATATAGGCAACTTAGTGAG